GGAAGTATTTATGAATTTATTCCTACATTCAAAGTATACTTCAGTCCATAATTTACTGTTGTAATTATATCACTGGCTCAATTAGTCCCCAATAAAAATGTTCCGCCATTGTACCACATAAATGCAGCACCTTTGAAGCAGATGGATTCACTTGCAGAATAAGAAATCTTCATTTTTATTGTGTTTTCTCATCTGCTACTTATGGCCACCTTTGTCTCAAATTGTCCTTTTCATTCCGGTTCTTGCAAGCGCGGTTTGTGCTTGAGCTCTGGATTCTCGCGCAGAACGAAATGCTCATCTCTAGCCTTGGGGCTGCAGCAGAAAGCGTTGTGGGAACTTTATCTTGTTAAAGCTTTGCCAGCCTCATTTGCATGGAGATTTACATGCATCGTCTCTGATGTTTGCTCTGCCTTTCCTCTGCCACACAAAGGCTACTGGGTCTGTAGGTTTTTTCGAGACTTCTCTGCTTTGTTTTGCTCTTCTATGTCATTGATGGGGATGCATTATTAGCTTTAAGGAAATAAGGTTGTACCTTTCCTCCTATTGATTTTCTCTTATTGCATTTGACAAACGTTGAGACTGCCCCCAGCCTTACTCGACCTTCCCCAAAGCAGCCGAGATGGGCATGGAAAAATGTTCCCTGGAGTCTCTGCAGAAAGCTGTACCCCTGCCCCAGCCACGCACAGGGCTTTAGTCCAGGCAGGAGGCAGCGTGAAGCTGGAAAGGAGGTGAAGTCCTTGTCTCAAAGAGTTCACCCTCCACGTACCAGACGGGAGAGGAAAAACGGTCAAATTGGACAATCGGTCTGTTGGAGGGATGAGGTCATAGCACAGCGAGGAGAATTTGGCAGAAAATCTATGAGCTGGCTAGACAGTACGGGACAAAGATCCATCTGAAAAATGGGACCATAGTGCAGCGAGGAGGATTGTGGTGGTCACAGAGCACTTCCAGATGTCATTTGGCATCACTGGTTGTCTTCACTTCCGAAAGCCTGCAAGGGCCTCTGGGTTTGATTTTCAGACTCACGAATGAAAGAGCCACCCAACCATTCACCCAAGAGTTGTTCAGTGCCCCTCTAATTGAGTTCTTCTGGACAGGCAATACTAAGAACCCCTCTAGATCCAAACCAGGCTCCAAAAGCAACGCAAAAATTAGCATGTGCTGAACCTCCTCCAAATCCAGAGCTCTGAGTCTGGTGACCTTGGAGGGAAATGTCCCTAAGGCAGCCACTAGCAGGGCTAGCCTGAACGATGCCTGCTATTTTCACCCACCTCATGTAAAAAATGCTAAAACCAAAGGCAAAATGAAGTGCAATTCCTCTGCTGACAATATGTTCTTAACATCTGGCTTATTCATTTATTTAAGCTGACAGTCTCTGTGCCCAGGCTCTATGGCTGCTTTCTGTGTGCAACCTGTATTTTGCCAGGTAGCCCTGTGCCTATTAAACAGAAGAAGGAGTGTAGCAAAATTAATGCATCTTTTACAGCAAGAGCGCTGAATTTATTGGTCTTACCACAGAAAATAATTTAGCACTCGCAGCCCTCCCTCGCCGGACAACGAAGACACAAAACAACACTGCCACACAAAGTTTTGACAAAATTCACAATCGCATGTGAAAAACGGGCCATGGGTAATTCACCGTTTCCATGTAGGACCCCTCACTCTCATCCTCATCCTCATTTTCTCTTCCTCCCCTCTGCCTGGGGCTCGCGCAGCAGGGACGAACAGCAAGGGAGATGCCACCGGCTTCAGCTGACTGTCCGTCCTCTCCGTGACTGCTCAGGATTTCCACCCTAACACCAAAAACCTACTGGGGAGAGTAAACAAAAAGGACAGAAAGGGAAAAAAAAACCAAACAAAGTCCTGAACAGATTTATCTTAATTCTCTTCTATCTGAAAAATCAATCTTGGATAATGAAGAGGCAGCCAAAAAGAGGTGTTTTATCCCTGTCCTCGGCCCCCTTTTTCCCGAGCAGGGCGTTTGACGGGGCAGCTCTGAGCAGCTCAGGAATCCCGCGCGAAGGTTCAGGCGAGGGAGCTCTGACCCTCGGTGCCACCCCAGCCGCTTGGGCACACATGCCGTCTCCGTTGCCAATTTTTTTTCCTTGCTGCCTTGCAAAGAAGCAACCCCACTTGCAGCAAATTGCTCCAAAAATCGGGGTTCTCCAGGGGCCCGGCCAGCTGGTGGAAACCACACCTCGGAGGCAGTGCCCCTGCCTCCCCCCCGCCCCCGCCGCGGCGGGGATACCGGGAAGGACCGAGCCGGCGCATCCTAGATCAATATATAATTTACATGTCGGTTCGTGCGTATCTGTTTGCTCCCTTTTTTTTAACATTTCCTAAACGCAACAAATCAAATACCTACCGTAAAAAACCTTTTCGCATTGGGGTTGATTGGGCAGCGGGTGGGGAAAGATTTATCTTGGCAGTAAAACTGGAAAAGGGCTATAAACCTTAGCGGAGCGCCTTGGCGGCCAGGTCCGAGGGAGGCTAATTGTTTGTTTGTTCGCCGTGTTTATGGGTTATCCGTGGCCCAGCTGACGGGAAACCTAAACCTGAAGGAAGAAAGCCCATCAATCGCCGTTATCTTCCTTTGGGGCGCACGTTGCAGCTACCAGACTGACCCGAGATGGAGCAATTCTGTCTAAAAATCATATGCAAGGGCCAACCGGTCTGAAACTCCCCGGGGATTTTGCTCCTCTTGGTTTTTTTACATGAAAGGTGCTTGGCTATTTGAGTAATGGGTGGTGGAGGGAGATCTATGGACCGAGAAACACTAATTGCTGTCCTAGGTGCAGCTGAATCCCCATCTCCTCTCCTCCCGTGGTCGATGAAGTCTCTCATCCGTCCGTCGGGAAGTTTGGCGCTTGCAGCCAAGCGAGCTCGCCTTCACCAACCCACCCCGGGTGCCCGACGGGGCTACGCCTGCAAAAAGGGCTTTTCCTAAAACTTCTTCAGCCACTTCAAAAATAGCTCCTTGCCTCAGTTTCCCTCTGTCTATGCCCGCTTTCTCACCCACCCCCTTTGCATCGCTCCCAGCGTGACTGTAAATGCTCGCAGTGCTGCTGGCTCCTGCGAGGGGCATACGCAGTGCCCGTCACACCGGAGACCTGGAGTGACTGTAATAATAACAATTATTGATTTTCCAGTTTACTTTATGTTTCATGGGGTGTTTTGAGGGGAATGAGATAAATAGCTGTCTCTGTCCCTATCCCAAGGCGTGGTACAAGAATGAGGTTTTTTTTCAGTCCAAGGAAATAAAATGCAAAATTCATTTCAATGATTTAAAAGTTATATTAAGGAGCAGCGTTGGATGAAGCAGGGTCAACATGCTTGTAATGAGATGACTCCAAAGCCGGAGTGACCGTCAGGGTGAGCCACAGCTGTTGCAGTGGCCTGATTTATCCCAGCTCCCGGACGGACGGACTCTAATGCCATGGCCCTGGTTTCGGTTTACAGCAGCTCTGAGTCTACCACCTCCATCCTGGAGTAGAAACACACCAAAAAACAAGCCCAGGGCCATCAAACTCAGTGGCCAGCTCTGCAGGCAGCCCACCCCGGAGACACGCAGAGGTGATCTTAAGGGAAAGCAGTTTCCATATAGAAATACATTTACTGTATCTGTGTTTAAATATAGCAACGGAGAGCCAGGGGAACGTGGTCTCTTGCTCTCGCCCATGAATTTCAGGAGAGATTATTCATTTTACAGTTTGTTTTGCCTTCGTGCTGGCGGGAATCACGTTAGCCAAACAGGAATTAATAAATGATTTGTTCATAAACAACTGATCATTTGCCTGACATACCGTTGCTCACAGTCTGCTTTTCTAGTGAAAAAGAGGGTGAAAAGCCCACGCTGGCAGGAGGGCTTGGGGAGGGGCCGGTGCCGCTTAGTTGTTTGCTCGCCCAGGAGCTGAGATATCCCGGCTTTGCAGGTTTTTCTCAACCTTGTTCATTATACTTCCAAAGTACTAAAAAGTACGGATGTGATAAGGAAAGAGAGGCTGTAAAACGTCACCCTTATCTTCCAGATAGAGGACCCGATCTTGCTCTTATTTATGCTGGTGTAAAGCAAAAGTAATTCCCTCAGTGCTGTTGGTGTAAAGCTAGCAAATGTGATCTCAGAAGCATGGCCAGGCTCTCAGCTAGTGCCTTCTACTTTTATATTTATTAATTTGACAAAGATTTTCTTTAGCTGCTGGAACTGCAGATCCAGCCTGCAGGGCTCGGACGGAAGGGGTGTGAAAACGAAGCCACGTGCACTTCTTTTCTGCATCTTTTTTCGTCTCCCCCTCCATCATCCTGCCTTGCGTCATTTTAAAGAAAGCTGACCGGGTTTGCCAGGGGCCAAAGGCAGAGCTGATTAGCGCGCATGGTCGCCAGCATCCTGCGTGGGAAGCAGGGAGCTGTACGTGCAAAGGGTCACTCCTGGCCAGCAGTGTGCAAGGGGCTGGTGGGGACGTGGAACGAGAGCAACTGCGTATGCCCAGTCACAGGCATTTTCTTGCTGCTGGTCTTCTCCTCCTCTTGCACTTTTTTCCCCCAGTGATATCAGCAGAACTACTCCAGCTTCGAACGGGCATAAATGAAACCAGTATCAGGTCCTTAACAGAGACAATTCTAATCATTAGTCATTGTTGTTACGTTAATTATTATTGCAGTTGCACAAAAGGAGTGGAAATAGATAACATCACCTTTTCTTCTTTCCTGTGTCAGTGTTTTCCTCGCGCATTTCATTGATGGCACCAATTAAGAAAATGCAAGACAAATATTGGGGAATCAGGATGCAGGTGGTAATTTTCTTGACAACGAACACGGCAGAACAGCGCACGCAGCCTGCTGCTCTGCAGGTACCGCGGCTCCGCAGTGCTGACAGCAGTAAAAACTTGTCTCTGACAGTAAACTAAGCATGTGTGACCCGGAAGACATCGAGAGCAGATAAGGGCAGTAATGCAGAGGCCATTTAGTGCTATTAAAACAGTTAAGTAGACTTAGGATCGGAGATGCCCGGCTGCAATTTGAGAAGGTCTGAAAGTGAGGAGTGGGAGATTGATGACCCGCGAGTCGGGCTGGCATTCGGATCCCCACTGCGCAGCCAGCTCCTCCTGCGCTTTCAGGCCAGGAAATTTCACTTCCGTGAAGAATATTGCATGATGAGAAACAGCGGTTGGTGGCGAAGTGGCGCTTCTGAGAATATTGCACAGGAGGGAGAAGCGGCTTCAGCACAACCTCCTGGGACTCTGTCCATCACTGCAATAAGACCACAACAAGCTTTTTCTTATTGAAACACACTGGGGTGTTCACAGGCGCTGGCCCACGTCGTACAGCACCTTTGCTCGGTGTGGGATACCAGAGTTTTTGCAAATATTGCTCTGCGGTTTGGAGGGGGGTTGTTTAGGGAGGTTTAGAGCAGGGCTCAGCCCTTGCCCGTGGCCCAGACACCGTCGCGACCCTGCCACCGCTGCGTGTCCCCGGCTGAGCGCCCGCTGCCACCCACCTCCCCGCGCCATCGGCTGTGCCCAAGCCTGGCCATAACCAGCAATATTAGCCCCAGGGCATTTCTCTGTCCCCATCCAGGAGAGAATTATCCCTCCGAGCAAATGAGGGTGCCACATGTCCCGAGGTGAGGAGTGAGATCTGGGCCGAGGCTCTTGCAAAGCATCAACTCCTTTGTGCCCTTGCTGTGGAAAGAAGCTGGACAAAGCTGCACGTGGGGAGCTGGTGGCTAATAAGTGGGTTATTCCTCCAGACTGGTCGGGGGGCGCCCCTCGCACGAAGGAGACCCCCAGAGCCGTACGTCGGCAGGTGCCTGCAGCATCACGAGCCATGGGCTGGGCAAAGCCACGGAGACACACGAGCCGTGCTTCGCCTCCGCCGCCCCGGGAGCAACGCCGGGCGGCACTGCAGGTGCCACCGCGTCCCCACGTCCACGGGCGGCTGTCTCAGCCCTGCAGAAGTCTCTTGGATCTGATGTTTAGAAGAAAAAACACCTCTTGTTTTATTACCACCTATGTGACAAAGTGATTTATGGTAGATAGTGACAGAAAGTACCTGACATAGAAAAAATATTTTTTTTAATCAAGGAATGATCACCATAAAGAATGCACTATATCAGTCAAATATATCCAGCTGAAAATACCCTATATGGTAGCATTAAGAAGATGTAAACTCTCAGATCTATTATAAACAACTTTCTAAGGTGGCTGAGGCTAGGAGGATTTTGACACGTGAAAGGATGAGGACTGTCATAATTCCAAATGCGTCCAAGAATTGTGGACTTCTTAATGAAATTTCCAGGTTTTGTGGGAGCTTTTGATATATACTTGTTACAGCTGTCATGAGTCGTAGAGGTTTTAAAATATTTATTGGTGTATATTTTTTTGCCTATCTCTTTATTGCCTTCCCTGTGCTCCATAACACCGCTGTTCCCTGACTCCTGCCATCCTGTAAGCCGGCTCCTGACAGGTGGAGCAGCCGGTGGCTACGTCCTGCCAGGCTGCGTCCCCCAAGCGACATCCCTCCCACCGCCGGCCCAGACACCCACGTGGCCACCACGCGGCTCGCTTGGCTCGCCAGCTGCGAAGAGGACTTGTGCTCTTTCAAGTTGTTGACATCTTTGGAAAAGTCAGTCCCACTGCTTCCTTTTACTCTTCATTTTGTGTTCCCACCTGGCACTGTCTGTTCCTTTCTCCTATTCCCAGCCTTTCGTCTCCCCAGGAAACACCAAAGTGCATCCAGAAGAAGCCCTATTTTCCACTCCTTGGCCATCTACTTTCCTTGGTCCTTGGACCTTCAGTCCCGTTTTCCCATCCCTTTCTCCCCAGCACTGTTATCCTACACTGTGGGTGCCCAAAACCTCAGATACAACTTCAGGATGGAAAATGAGACAGATGAAAAATGAAGGAAGAAAGTTCTCCGAAGGGCACCGCAGCAGGTGGGTTTCCGCAGCCCCGCTAGCGGCTCCCTCCCCTTTCGTTCCCGCGGGTGGCGGTACGGTGTCTACCTGCCTGCCATCCGTTAGTCTCCGTGCTGTCACCCACGGAGCAGTCCGTCACTTGTTTCTCGTCCTTGAGGTATTGCCAGCCTACAGCCAGCCGAGCTTTCTCCAATTCTTCACAATATCCGTCCCCTCCGTGAGCTCTCACCTGGTTGTTTCCCCATCTCTCTGCTCGATAGCAAGCATATATCGTCCGCAGCTCTGCTGCCTGTCTCTTATCTTCCACTCCGTCTTCTGCAGGTGCGTTCATCTTCGAAATTTCCACGGCTGGTGGCGTGTGAGTTTGGAAGACGCTCTGCAGAACAAAGCTAGGGGTAGGCTAGTTTCTGGCTGCAGGTTTTACTCAATAAAAGCGGGAAGAAAATATTCCTCTTGTGCATTTAGGCCCGCACCGTACAGGAGTGCATAAAGCCACCAGGTATCAGTGGGAAACAAAATCGAGATAAAAGGAGCAGGAATCTCAGCTTCTTGCCTGGACATTTTGATGGGGGAAAAAAGTTCTTTTTGACATTTCCTTCCTTCTAATTTTAGGGAATTTGTGCCCAAAGCAAAACAAAAATATCCCTTCCAATTCATAGGAACAATTCACATGCATAAAAGAAATGGAAAGTGGGCTGCACTTCCACTTACAATGGCTTTTTGTTTCTCTTTTGTCCTCCCATTGTTTTACATAGAAGACAGCATGAGAATTAAATATATGAGAGAAGAAAGAAAACTGCTTTTTTTTTGTTGCTCTTTTCCTAAGTTTTCATTAAGATTTCTGAATTAAAAAAACAAATGAGTTTGTTGTAGGTGGTGCTGTCCCCCGGGAGGCTCCTGCGGGTGTGTTTTCCCGGCGACCGGCTGCGTTAGCGCTACTGACCCAAAAAGCAGCACAGGAGCGACCCAGCAAGGAGAGAGAGGTGACTCTCTCCAGCTGTTATCTGGTGAAAGCAAAAGCAGTTTTAGGGTTAAGCAGTGATGAAGCAACTCCAGCTCTTTGCCAAAGTGTTAGATAAGCAATGCAGGACTGTGCAAATCAATGCAGGAGAGTTGGCTCCCCGCCGCCGGGACTGCCCAGCTGGGGCGCCTGCACCCGGGTCAGCCCGCAGAGCCGGGCCCTCTGCCCGGCACCAGCATGGCTCTCCTGAGATGTTCTACCCTGTTTCTCTCTGAAGCGTCAAAGCCTGGTCACTATGAGGAGCTGGAGGAGAGGCACACGTCCGAAGGAGCCCTCTCCACCCATCCCCTATTCCGGAGTAACATGCCTCCTCCCTAATTCTGGTTGCGTTTGTGCCCCTCCGTCCCCGAAACGCGACGGTGCTCCAGGTGCCCTTTGCGGGTTGCATATTTACAGATCGTCGCTTTGGCTTAAAACGCAAGCGGCCAAAGGGAGAGAGCCAGGAAAGCGAGAGCGGCGCCGGGGCCAGCTTCGATGCTTCCCTCCGGCGCTTGGCCCTGTTTCTGCAGTGTCTGTGTGTCCTTCGCTTTCTGCAACCTGCACGCAGCCCTGCATTGCAGCAGCCGAGGATCCCCTCGGCTGCTTCCTTCCCGGAGCTCAGCGTGGGGCTGCACCAGCGAGGAGTTCTCTGCAAGCCGAGGGGAGAAGTGCGAGGGGACCGCCGGGGCCGCCCGGCCGGCAGGAAGGTCTCCTGGCATCTCCAACCAGCTCAGAGCTATCGAGGGTGCTGGTGAGCCCCTCCACACCAGAGCAACCTCCTCAGGCAGAGCAACCTATGTTTTCTACCAGACCTAGAATAAAACAGCGTCTGTAAAAGCTTCAGGGTGGATCGTCTGTATTTCTCCGAGCTGCAAAGCTCATCTGGACCTACAGACAGATACTCATGCAGCAGAGTCATGCCAGCATTGCGATCTCGGGCAGGCACAATTAAAAACCGTCACCGCAGATTGGGGTTTTTTCTTTCTGCTGTCCTTCCACGCACACGCACCCCAATGGGAAGAGGGGGCCGGGCACGAGCACACCTTTGGCACGGCTTCTCTGTTGTGGCTCAAAGCAGAAAATGTTGGGTGCCAAATTTTTTACTGCAGTGTAAATTAAAATGCCTGAACTAGGATGATAGGCACAGAGCATGGAGATCGGTGCAGCCTCCTGCCTGTTAAGGGACATAGTGGAATAGAGAGCAAACGGTTCCTGAGAGCAGGGTCTGCTTTAGAGGAAATAAAATAGAATCTAGAGGGGAAATGGGCAAACTTGTGCCAAGGTCTCTCAAATCCTCCCGACGGCCCAAAAGGGCTGGAGGAGGCTTGCAGCTCCCAGGCACGAATTCTGCCCATGCAGACGCTCTGCAGATATTTGTCTCTCTAAGTGTGATTACACTCTGAAAAGTGACTTGCCACAAGTGCCCTTGTGGAAGTCTCTGCTCATAGCTCTAGTTAACTTTCCAGATTTAAAAAAAAAAAGGGGGGGTGGTATTTCTTTCTTTTCTTTTCATTTGGGGTTTTTCATTTGTTTCTTTTCTGATCAGCAGCTCAGCAAACGCAGCCCAGGCTCTGGGAGCCGAGAGGGGCTGTAGCTCATCCCACCAGTAGGACTTGGGGACTGGAAAGGAGGCAGTTTGTGACCTGAATCGCTGCTGTGTTGGCTGTGCTGGGCTAAGAGGAGTAAAATGTGGTCAGAGACATATTTTATCCCTAAAGTCAGCAGATCTGAGCCTGACCATGCAGATCTGTTGAGTAAGACGACGTGTATTTTCTGCAGGCACGTTTGAACTGTAACCGCACTTTAACGGGATTCAACAGCATCTCACGGCGAGGCACCGGTTTGCCCCGTGGTCGCGGAGAGCCCGGCGATGACACACGTAAGCAACTCAGGCGTGTCCCTGAGCGTTCAGCCCATAAATCTGCATTATCCCTGCGCCCGGGTCCTGATGCAGGAGAGGATGCCCTGGAGCCAGAGCAAGGTCGAACTTGCAGCCCACAACCCTGCCGTGGCCGGCAACCGGCCTCCGCGCGGCCACCCGGCACCGCAGCTGAGCAGCCCCTCACTGCCACTTCAGCTGGCACTTTGGGAGATAAAGTCTTGTTGGCAATTGTCTTGCAAGGTGAAATGCAGGTAGTGGACGCGTCGCTGCATGCAGCATGCTCTTTGCTGCAATATATGTGTATTTATTAACTCACACCTGACTCGGTCTCTTCCCCTTGCTACCGGGCCAGCCCCGCAGAGCGGTCG